TCTACTTGTTTTTCTTTGTGTGTATGTGTGTGTGTGTGTATAATATATATGTATATATATGTATATATATACACCTTGCTACGTGTACTGCGTTAGGCTAACCAAGACTTGTCATTTGCACTTATATATTGTTGCTCTTTTTTTAGTTTTGACTGCTTTTATTGTCCTCATTTGTAAGTCGCTTTGGATAAAAGCGTCTGCTAAATGACTAAATGTAGTGTAATGTAATAGACTAACAACAGGTAAGTATACATTTGTAAATTTATGCCAGTGGACATGTCAAGTTTCTGATCTGTACTCAGTGTTTAAGAAATGAGAGGAATACGCTTAAAATTGCTTTTATGAAAATAAATATTTGTCATAAAATCTTGCAAGGATTTAATGAGGAAGCTTTATCCTTACAAAATGTCATGGCAAATACATTCTTGTTGTTGTTAACCTTTCCATTTTGATTCCATCTGTATACTTTTTTCAACAAAAAACAACACAAGCATTCAAAATAATTGTGTGTTTTAAATGTGTAGGAAATTCAGGATGTACAGGTGAGTGTTCAGAGTCAGCAGATGAAGATGGAGGTGATGGAGACGTCCAGCCGGCCTGATCTGACAGCAGCGCTTCGAGACATTAGAGCTCAGTATGAGAGCATCGCCACCAAAAACATGCAGGAATCTGAGGAGTGGTACAAGTCCAAGGTGAGTGCCATCATGAAGAGCCACTGTGTGAGTGTTACTAATAATACACTGGTAAAATACTGTAAAATGTACTGATCACCTCTGTGTTTTCTCTGTTAGTTTGCTGACCTGACTGATTCGGCTAAGCGCAATGCTGAGGCCATGAGACAGGCTAAGCAAGAGAACAATGACCTGAGGAGACAAATTCAAGCCCAGAACTGTGATATCGATGCTCTCAAGAGCACTGTACGTACATATATAAAATATTTATGCATCTCCTTTCAAGCTGCCTAAAGCTTTGTATAAAAAAAAGAAAAAAAAAGAAATTGATTCAGGGGTTTCACTAATTATGCTATATTTGAAACCTAAACTGTTTAGTTGTGTCAAATGTGTGTGTATTTTTGTAGTCATTATAGGTTGCTCCATGTAAAACAGGGGTGTCAAACTCAATTCCTGGAGGGCCGGATCCCTGCAGAGTTTTGTTCCAACCCTGTTCCAACACACATACCATGTAGTTTTCAAATAAGGACTTGATTAGTTGGATCAGGTGTGTTTAATTAGGGTTGAATCTAAACTCTGCAGGACTCCGGCCAGACCCGTAACCAGCTATGAGGTCAAGGTTGAAATGTTTCATGTTCAAAAATTAAATTTGTTCTTTGAATGACTAATTTGCTGTTAAACTCCTCATATGAATGCTTGCATGACATGTATAATTCAGTTTAGACCGTTTGCAAGAATGTTTAGCGTCCCTGTTATGAAAATGATCGCTGCAAGACGCTGGCGGTGTGAACGAGGCTTGAGAGAGTTGAGTGAGGGCGCGGCCACAGCCTTTTTTATTTATATTTTTGTATTTTGTTTGTTTTAGTATCAATATCTGGCAACAATGCATCACCGGCACTTAAACTGAATGCAATCAAAAAAGCCCATGGACAGGTTTTTGCTGACAGGATACGACATTTGGTAAGGGAAACGCGAAAATTATCATGATATTATCTGTCATAAACGTTAGCTGTCAAAAACAGTAGCATTTAACACTAGTACACACAGATCTGTAGAACAAGTAGGTTACAGAATGAAATGAAATGTGCAAAAACTAGCCATGAAGAAGTGGATGCCATGTCATTCAGTATAGTTAAATTTTCACAAATTATGCTATAAACTTTCATAAGAGCCCTAGACAAAGTTATTGTAGTTATGTATTGTTTCAATAAACAGCTGATAAATTTATCCACCCTTAAATATAGTAAAGTATTAACAAATGTTGATGCAATAAATAGGGTATGATTTAAAGATAATCATCCCTCCAAAACAGAGAAAACATCTTGTCTCCTTTAAAGTGTTTATAGTGTATATAATGAGTTGTATTTGTAGGGGTTTGCATAAAACCTCCTTCATATTCATGACATGTGTCATGTCATGATTATGAAGGTCTCATGTCAGTCTTATGCACACCCCTTCAAGTAAAGTGTTACCCAATTCTTTAACACCCCCCCCACTAATTTTCAAAGCCTTGGTACGGCAATGACTCCGGCCCTCCAGGAATTGAGTTTGACACCCCTGATGTAAAACAATATAAATTTATAATATTCCCTTATTTAGATAGCTAAAACTTTATGTGTGTTTGTGATGGTAGAATGAGGCTCTGGTGAGGCAGATGAGAGAAATGGAAGAGCAGTTTGCTGCAGAGGCCGGAAACTATCAAGATACTGTGTCCCGTCTGGAAGACGAGATACGGCACCTGAAGGAGGAGATGTCACGCCACCTGCGGGAATACCAGGATCTGCTCAACGTTAAGATGGCCCTAGATATTGAGATTGCCACCTACAGGAAACTTCTGGAGGGAGAGGAAAACCGGTAAGAGTGATGCCGTTGAGCCACTTTAGCAAGTTTCTGTGTGTAAAGTGTTTTTTTGTTCGTTTTACTCTGGTAACTGATGACCTTCAAACTGCACCTTTCAGAATTGTGGTTCCTATCATGAAAATGCCTTCAATGGGTGCACACAGTGGTGGTGAGTCTATCATAGTATAAAAGAAAGTGTTTATTATTATTTAACCCAATTTAGGATTTTTTTTTAGGATGGAATGGTTGAAAGTTTTCAAGGAATAGTTCACTCAAAATGAAAAAGAGGGTTGTAGATTCGCACACACAGACCAGCCAAGCAAACTTTATTAGTGCTTTGAAATATTAAAAGTAAAAGATCCATGTACTGTTCTTTCCACACAGACAAAATAAAAACAGTAAAAAAAATAATAAAAAGAGCTACCTTGCCTTATGTAGGCAATTGTACAGCACAAATTACCATATAGCAACAATGGAATAAGAACAATTCCTTTTTGTTTTTTCATGTCAGAATAGTCCAAGATTATCATATTTCAATGTATGTGATCAAATCAACAAGAGCTAATCCAAAAGTTATTTAAAATGTAATCAAAAGTAGTTCTCACCTAAAACCAATTAGATTACTTTGGAAGAGTTGTATGTTGTGTGAACTATTCCTTTGTGTAAATGGTCAAATTTCCTTCTGCTGAAACTGAATCTGTTCCAAGAAACGGAGTTAACTTTGATTGCTACTGTAGTTGCTCATGATAATGACAAGGGGTAAACAACTGTTTACATATCATGTCCTTTTACAAAACAATGCAATGATTCATCTGTGTCAATCTGTAACATTTTTTAATTCTCTGTACTACTAAGTAGTACATGAGTTATTTTATTCCACCTTTGCATCATATCATCTGCTGTGTGATGTCTTTGAACAGATTATGGTCAGTTTTCTGATACTGGACCTGGAAAGAAAGTCGTAATCAAGACTGTTGAGATTCGTGATGGAGAGGTGAGACACTTTGTTTCCAGTCTTATTGAAACAGACATCTTAGCTCCTTTAACAATCAACTGGCCAGTGAAAAAACACCGTATGCACAGTATTCTTAGTGTTTAACATTATATCTTGTTAGATTTTTAAAAAATGTATATTTGTAACATATGTTGCATATACTGTATCTGACTGATTCTTTTGTTCATTGCTCAGGTGGTGAAAGAATCTACAAAAGAAAAGAGCAGAGATGATAAAAAAGATTCAAATGGTCAAGGAGAATCTGACAAAGATTAGAGCGTGCAGATAAATGAATGCTTGATGAGTTATGTGTTGCGGTTTTAAAGGGACTGTAATGGTAAAATGTAGGCACACGTGCGGTTTACGATGATGCTTGTAGTGTAGTGAATAATCATGTGACTCAGTATTGTGTATAATATGGTGCTATTACTATATATGAGCATAACATGACAATGCCTTAACTAATAAATCATGTATGCAGACCTAATAAAGTCACTAACAAGATGCCCAACAAACAATTACTTACAGATAACAAAAACAATATTTCAGAAGTTCACGTCAATATAATCTTCAAATAAATGTGAATGGAAACCGAATTTGTCGTCTTGTCCATAACTAAGTGTTTGCGTTTGAGCCACAAATCAGAGGATTTTTTATCTGCTCCTGCGGACCAACAGCACCGCATTTTGTGATCTGGATCATTAACTCATTAGGAGATCATTAGCTTGTTTAAAAAGAGCTCCACGAACTGAGTGTGTCATAAGAAAGACAAACAAAATGTGCATTGCTTTGGGTCCTCAGAACCAAAATTGAAACGCACTGACACCTCGTGAGTCTTTTTTTTTAGCATATAGCACATTAATGGGTCATTAAATTCTAATGACACTTTATTTAGAATTAATTGTTCTGCAAATGTAAGCAGCATGCACACACGTGTAGTTATGAGAAAGTCCATTGTAAACTTAGTAAGAAGAATATTAGTAAGGACAGTGATGAGGGGCCATAAAAATATATTTATACCCGGATTTGTTGTGCTGTTTTGCAGTGAAAATTCCACAATATTTGTTACATATTTATGAAGTTAGTACTAAGTGACAGTGAAAGCACAATTACTTGTAAATATATATTTTTCTATATTTACAAGTAATTGTAAGTTGTATATAATAAATAAATATACAAAATATTTTACTTTTTTTTTTTGCATATGAGCTTTAAGTATACTTCAAGTTAATTTTCTAAAGTAGACTTTCCAAATATACTTTGTAAAAATATTGAAACAGTACGATACAAATATACTACTAGTGCATTGATATTGGCATACTTACTACATACATTTGTACTTACTACATATACAGTGGGTACGGAAAGTATTCAGACCCCCTTAAATGTTTAACTCTTTGTTATATTGCAGCCATTTGCTAAAATCATTTAAGTTATTTTTTTTTCACTGTATACATAGAAGTATATAACTGAAATTTACTTTAGTTTACTTAATGAAATGAACTTGAATCTGAATTTTTTTTCGGTAATTGAAGCGGTTCCACCCCAAAGCTGACTTGTTACTATAAACTCGAACTTATAAGTTTGTATGATAGTATGTAAACATATACTGGAGTACTACCTCAGAGAAGCCAGTGTGTGTGAAAAAGTATGTAATAGGCTGTCCAATCATTGAAACAGTCATAATTTGGCAAGAACTGAAGCAGTACATCACATGCAATGCAGATAACAGGGTTTTTTTTTTCTTGTGGCAAAATCTGTATTTAAACTGCAGGCACTGCTTGAAAGCCTGATCTGTTTTGGTTTGTGACAGCATGTCCTACAGAAGGAGCAGGAGGCAGCCAGTCAGCAAGCTCCATAAACAGAGATGCAGAGTTCCATCATATATCTCAAAAACGGTGGTTAAATATGAAAACTACTTTCCAATGATACAGCGCTTGTGTAGAGATAAACATTAATTTGTTCTAGAATCATATATAATGGTCCCAAATATGTAATAATGAGCCCACTGGTGGGCTAGTGAGAGCTTTAACGGAATAGTTCCAAAAACAGAAAAATGTGCTTACTCATTGCCTTAGGCCATCCAAAATGTTGATTCATTGTAGCCAAACCCATGCATATTAATGAATTCAGTTCATTAATAATTTAATTTCATGCATCGATCCATATCAATGTATCATTACATCTCTAGCAACTAGCAGGCACACCTTTCCTGATCTACTTCTGATACCTTAAGACACTGATGCCAAATGCAAATCATCACATCAAGAATAAAAGACAAAAGAGAGAAATTAGTAAGGAACTTGGGTACTTTTAATGTAAGTAGCAGATAAACAACCATGACACTACAGGGATTACAAGCTTAACACAAAATGAACTGCAAAGAACACTTTAAAAAAAAAAAGTAATAAAAAAAAAGTCCAAAAAGGGTAAGATCCATTTTTTATACATTTCCAAACCGCTCAGCACGTTTTCGCTTCTTTGCCTGAAAAAGAAAGAGAGGGTGGGGTGTGGAGAAGGGTTATACAGCGAGAAACATAAGATTGTAACATGGTCAATATATTGATATAAGTAGGAGCCTCGCTTGAGAAGGTGTTGCCACAATTTACAGTGGTTAACTAGCAGATAAGATTCAGTTTTATTCCTCTGAAGTGAATGTGCTCAGTGATGTTGTCTGACATTATTATTATTATTATTTTTAATCCCTTCTGTCCTTTGTCTAAATTATTCACTACATTTAACCTGACCATACGGAGATGGTGAAAACGTAGTCTTGCCACAAAGTGACACTACCTTGTCTCTTGTATGGTAGGCAATGTTAGTCACCCCACACAATATTACCAAATTTGTAGAACCATTATTTCTTCCAACAAAGATAACCTGAATAATTTTCCAGAAACAACAGAAATTTTTAGAACTCTGAGGTTGTAACAAACTATGAATAGAGTGTTTGCCAACACTTAGTGTAGCACCTTTCCGTCTAAAGAAAATTAAAGAAATTCATACATGCAGTGTTCTCAAAAAACATTAAATAAAACAAACTAATGCATAAATACAAATATTTGTCTGGTATTTTATTAGATGCTGAATAAAAAAAATGATTTAATTCCCTAAGAAAAAAAATGATTTAATTCCCTAAGAAAAAAAATGATATTTGTACAGTCTGCATTAACACTGCAGATCCTTTATTACTTGGCATGTTTAAGAAGCAAATAAGCTAAATAAATATGAACAGAAATCACACAAACTTATGCTTAAAGAGCCCATATCTTCCCGTCCAATTTATTTTTCCAGTAACATTAACTGTACTATATATTACACTTTTATATAGCACTTCACACTGAATAAATTTATTATTTTGGATTAAAGATATTAAAGTTATTAAAGATATTAGGTAATCACAAATCAACAATTATTGTCTGTGCGCTCTCTTGTTTGACCTTGCAAAGTCTGAACTGCTGCCACGTCCAACCTGCGAGAATCTAGATCTACCTCATGAGTAAAATAAAAACAACCCTCAAAAGACACTTCTAATGTTTTGATGACATTATGGTTGCTCAGCCAGAGAAGACATTTAACACTGCCCTTTCATATAGCTTGCTTGACGAGAGAACAAACCTTTTGGTACTCATGTGTCAAGCAAGCAACATTTGAGCTTATGTTTATCACATTTGATGTACTCTACATACGACTTGACTAATAGAGGGTGTGCACATGACGTCACCGTCAGCTGGAGTGAGTGTGGCTCCGCCCACTGAGTGGCAAAAAGACTGATAGTAGCATTGGTTTTCAGCGTGAATGCTGCGAAAGAACACACAAAACACAACTAAACGAGAAAGAGCTGTGCGATTGACCATACAAATAGACTTGACAAGAAATCAGAGGCATATTTTTACAGACTGCCGAAACCTACAGAAAAGAGAAGCAAATGAATCGCTGCAATTCACAGAAACAATTGGACTCCAGGCAGCGAAACACGGATCATGTAATGTCAATATGTTGAATTTTGTGGTAAAATCATACCCTATATATTGTATTATAATATATCGTACTGACAACTCGTCAATTAAATATTTACCATCTTCTATTCTGCATAACTGGATGTTTATAAATAAAAACTATACAAGTTTTAGGGCTGGACGATATATATATAACATTGGTCTAAATCCGGATGATCACTTGTATCAATTACAAAATGCGTTCACAGGTAAATCTGCTTTATTTCCCCAGCATCAAAATCACGCACATATAAATGTCAGGAAACACCATTCCTGGCTTCATATCAATATCCATGGACCACTGGATATTTGCCAAGTTGTAGGGAACATTATATCGAGTCCAGCAACCTTTAGTTTAAACCGATTATCGTTTGTTTTACTCACGTTTTCGCAGCTTCCCTATTAAATCCATTCATGCAGCAGGCTCTCTTGTCACTCAGTCCGGCAGAGGGGGCGTGTTCAATGCATACCCTCTATACATTTACATGAATAAATGAGAAGGGGCAACTCTAAATAGATGGCCATATGCAATGACCAACACAGATGAAGTTGAATTGAGAGTGGTGAATTTGCTTCTCCTGTGTTCAGAAATGAAAACTCATTTCAAACCCATAAAACTTTTGTTCATCTTCAGAACACAGATACCTTGTAATATTTTCTCAGCTTCTGCCCATCTATCAAAAATCCACGTAATCAACATTTTCAAGCTTCAAAAAGCAGACATCTTAAAAGTAATACATATACAGGTGCATCTCAATAAATTAGAATCTCATGGAAAAGTTCATTTATTTCAGTAATTCAACTCAAATTGTGAAACTCGTGTATTAAATAAATTTTTCACAATTTGAATTACTGAAATAAATGAACTTTCCACGACATTCTAATTTAGAGATGCACCTGTAAATAGCGGTTTAATCCAAGTCTCCTGAGAGACTCCATCACTTTATATGATGAACAGATTTCAACAGGCATTTATTCACGTATAAACATTGATCATCACACACAGATTTAATGAACCTTTTAAAACCAGTTTACCAGCAGAACCCATACCTCTGTATCATTGGCTCCAGCAGACGCTGCACTTGTGACAATGCCAAATCTCTCCTTCCTCTTCTTAAGCTTTTCATCATCCTCAATCTGTGAACACACACAAAACATTCAAATAGCTACTAAGCAAGACAATATCATTTGTAAGTTGTAAGTGAAATATGAAAAAAGGTACCTTTTTAGAAACTGAAGAGACACTCATGCCAAAACGTTCTGCTCTCTTCTTTAATACCTCAGCGTCAACCTGAAAGAAGAGTGGCACGTTCATCAGTGGTTTTGCAGAGATACATTTATTTCACATTTAAATTTCCAAGCCCCTAGGAAAATGTGCAACCAGATTACTTACATTTGGTTTGGCTGAAGTTCCTAAAAAAAAATAAAAAACACCACATGTAAATGAATACGGAACTTTTCATTAATTAGACACTGTAGCTTGAAACCTTAAAGGGGTCATATGATGCGATTTCAAGTTTTCCTTTCTCTTTGGAGTGTTACAAGCTCTTGGTGCATAAAGAAGATCTGTAAAGTTGCAAAGAC